TGTAATAGAAAGAGGACTAATGAGTTTGGGATGTTTTTCTCCAGCCTGTCCTAATATTTGCCCATTTTCTTTGTGTCTGTGTGATTTCAGTTGCAGCTAATTTGCAGAAAATTGTGGAAGAGCCCCAGGCAAACAGATCCATCACTTTCAGACTGGTATTTATTCCTGTTCCCTAATTGATCCAGTTGTCCCTTGCAAGGAGAAGGCATTGCATGTAGATGTTTACTGCAGGCATCTGATGTATGCACTCTAAATCCTCCCTTCTTTCCCAAAGCTTCTCACTGGTTGTGTAACTGTAGGCTCTGCAGGCTCCCTGCTTGTATCGTCTGAGCAGCACCTGGGATAAATAAGCATGAGATGATGTGCTCATTAATATATGTAAATGTTGCAGAGGGGTATTTTTGGGGCTTGGAATGTGCACCTGCAGAAATATTTCAAGGCAGGTGGATGGGCCAAGAATTGCCACAGACTCCTTTTTTGGAGGAAGAAAATGAGGGAGGGTCCAGATACATTGTTCCTGAGGGGGAAATGGGGAAATGAAGAAGAAAAAAGGAAAATAAGTGTGGTGGGCCAAAGAAAAGAGCCAAAACTGGGAGTAGAGCAGGTGAATCTTTCAGAGGTGGTGAAATCCAGGGGGAGTTAGAGTGGCAAAGCGAAGGCTTAACCAGGTTACTGGGAGTGAAGCATTAAGTGCTCTTATTTACTCTTCCTGTAAGGAGTTTTCACTTGTTTTACCCCAGTTATTGCACATATAATGTCTAGTTGGAGCAGACATTGGCAAAACTTCATTCCCAGCCCTTCATACTTAAAAAAAAAAAAAAAAAGGCAAAAATACAAAAGCACTCAATTTTAACTTTGGGTAGTGCAAGCTGCTGGATATAGTGCAAAGCTGTCCTGTGGCTGCTTCCTGCCCCCAGCCTGTCTGATACACCTGCTTGTGGTTTCTGCTGGAAGGTAGAGCATGTGTGTTGCTATTTGGATCTCTCTTCCCTGTTTCAGGCATCTGGCGTCGATGGCTCCGAAATTCCGGATGATGGCAAACTTATAGGATTTGCACAGCTCAGCATCAGCTAAACATTGGTCCCAGGAGATGTTTCCCAACAGAGAACCCACATGTGCATATTCGTAATGCTTCTGTTAGCCTAAAAAAAAAAAACCACTACTGCCAAAGAATTGAACTACAGCCCCCTTCCTAGAAGCTTTAACATTTTCCTTAATAGGATCACAAACCTTCCTGAAATTACCGATGACGTTTACACCTTTTGTAAACAACTCTCATGTTTTTGTATCTGTCATCTCAAACATGCAGACCCAACACGTCATTGCCTGCATGTTCATTTTATTATTGCCTTACTTTAAAGAAAAATACTACTGAGTACGAAGCAGGGGGTTCCACTGCTCTGATGATCTTGCCTAAGTGTTTGCTTACATGTGGTTTCATTTTTTTTTCACTTGCTGTTTTTGCACAAGTTTTAATACTGAACGGATTTTTTTCTTTATTTTGGTTCTTTACCTGCTTCTCCTTCTATCTGAAACACCAATGTACGTGTTGTTTGGGTCACCTGGAGTGCTGAGAAATCTGCTTCTCTTTGGCTGTGTGTTTTAAAACTGCTGGTTTGAGTGCTTGCACCTGAGAAAGCAAGCAGAGTCTTAACCCACAGGAGGGAGAGCTTCTCTCCCTTTTGTTTGTGTTTTGGAGAAGTTCCTTGACTTTGAGGTGTTAGAAGTCAGCTTCCCTATGTAAACTGCCTTAATTTTTTTCTTTTTTCTTTATCATTTTGGTTCTCTCCACATGAGTGCCAGGCATGGCATGAGGGCTGAACCTTTTAATTTACATTCAGCAGTCCTTCCTGCTGCTTTCATTCTGCATCTTAGGCGTAGTCTGTTCTTGAAGCAGACCAGGGAGGCATTGCTGCCTGGAAACTGGTCTTTCAGATGATGAACACAATATCCATGGTCACAGGGAGAGGAGATCTATGTCACTCTGCCTTTGAAACAGATGCACTTCCAAGTGTCCCTGAAACCCAGTTTGGTCATGCCTGGCTGGCCTGCCAGCTGTGTTCCCCAGTCCTTTGCAAGCTGGTACCCGTGGAACCATCCCTGTCGTGTTTTACAGCAATAAAGAATCACCAGTAGAGTGGCTGTACTGGGCAAAAGCGGGCGCTGGGTTTGTCCCTCCTGCTCTCAATCCCTTGGGTCGTCGGGCTGCACCTCAGCCCAAGCCTCCACGTTTGATCAGGATGTCACTGCACCCCTGTCACACACGTATTTAGCTTTTCTTTCCATGTGGTGTTGAAGTTGAGTTTCTACATGAATAATATAAATTATGCTCTGAGTTTGATAAGAGACACTTGTAATGCAATATGTGAATAATAAATGGTGTTGACTTTTTTTTTTCCTACTGTTTCACAGTTGGCCTTTGTAACTGCTCTTGGCTCTGGAGTGTTTTCTACACAGAAGTTGTAAGTCTGTAATTTAACATGCAGATGGAAACGAGCTTTGTTTCCATCAGACACAAACAATGCAGAAACAGAGCGGAATGACTAGGTTCAATTAGGACTTTTGTTCTGTTTCTTTTTTTTCTTTTTTTTTTGTCTTTTTTTTTTTAATTTCCAAGTCTTCAGATGAACAATCTGTATTTATATCTTGTTCTCTATGAGCAGCTGTGGAAGCTTCCTGAATTGTGCATGTTCTTTTTTTACCGCCCCTGTTGCTTGTAGCCTCTGGGTGGATATTGGGTGTGTCCCCATGGGCTGTTTGCAGCCCCATGGCTGGTGAGTGTGAAGGGGAGGGGGAGGAAGATGAGAATTTGGGAGTGAGATCATCCTGGGGTGCTGAGCCCAGGAAGCAAGTGCCCGATAGCAGGGAGTTGGTGGTGGCTGGGTTGGCAGGTGTGTGTTGGCACCATTCCCTGTTGCCTGACACAAAGCACTCCCTACAGTGTCCCCCATTGAGCTTGTTGGCTTGGGAAGAGCAGGCTGGCACCTTGATTTTCCCATCACCCTGTGCTCAGTGTGGATGTGTTGGGAGCCTTTAGGATACACAGACAAGGTAGTTGTGGTACAGTATTATTTTCCCTCTGCCTGCATGCCCTGGGGACCTCCTCATTCATTTGTGTACTGGTGCTGAGGAAGGTTAGGACTCAAACTGCTCAAATGGAACAATGCAGCATCTATTTATTGTTATTCCCCAATTTCCCAAAGCCAGGACTTAGAGAGCTTGAGCTCACGCTAACCCAAGGTTCCGTAGTTCTTTAATGGAGAAAATAAACGAGGAAGAAGCTGATGGGTTTTGCTCTATGGATCTCCAGATCTTTTGGGTAGGGATCCAGAATATTTACTTGGGCTATTACAGTGCTAGACAACTGTCTTTTCTGATGTTGTTCCAGTAAGTGCCAATGCTGTTCATAATTGTTTTCCAGTGTCATTAAGAATTTGGTTTTTGTGCAAATTTCTGATCTGAACCTGGAAGCAGGTGGTAATTTTAAGTTAGTTCCTACTTTTAAGGACAATGCTCTGTTAATGAAAACGGATCCTCTTCACAACTTTGGTGTATTGTAGATTATAATGAAAGATGTAAAATAGTCAGGCTTTTTTTCCTTTTTTGGACTTTGTATTTTACTGCATGTGTCTAATTTTTAATCAATAAAGAACAAATTGTCCATTGCCAGGTGTGTGATGTGTGGTTTGCTTGTCACTGGGTTGGCTGGTTTGTCTGAGTGATGTCTGCAACCCCTGGGGCGTTTGTTTGGCGTGATGGGAGGTTTGACAGCCCCCAGGAAAACTCTGTAGGGAAAGGGAGATCAAGTCCAGGCTGGATGGGGCTCTGAGTAATGTGGTCTGGTGGGAGGTGTCCCTGCCCATGGCAGGAATGGAACTGGATTAATTTTAAGGTGCCTTCCCACCCAAACCATTCCATGAATGCATCTCTGCAGGAGCTGTGTGCAGAAATTGAGCCAGGAGGGCACTCAGCATGGTGCCCTGAGAGCTTGTCTGTAGCCAAGAGGTTTGGTCCAAGCTCTGCATGCCCTGTGCAACTGGGAATGAGCTTCCCATGTCCAGGAATGCCTCAGGATGACACAGGCCAGTGTGAAAGTGGGAGGATTTGTACCTTGACAAGTGGTGAGAGCATGAACTGCACTCCCTCCTCTCCACAATAATTGTTCTTAGTGGGTGCCCTGGTCAGCCTCAGTGGGGCATCCATGGTGTTTTCCAGCATGCTTTACAATGCCCTTCTCATGGATCTGTGGGCAGCAGGAGTATCCAGGTGGCTTTTGGGCACCTCATGGACATCTCAAAGGGGCCCCAGGCAAATGCTTTACCTACATGAGGGATGGGCTGAGCAATGCTAGATTTGTGTTCTCGATGATCATTTTAGGCATTTTGGATTCAAGCACCGTTGCCCTGTGTCAAATTTCTCCATCCCTTTACCCTTTCCCCAAGTCCTTTCTGCATTTAGCTCCCAGCAGCTGCAGGGTGGCCCAGAACTGGTGGAAAGGGGGGACATCCTGTGCCTGGCTTGTGTTGCACAGGGAAGCTGCAAAAGATGAAGGGAATGGCAGCACCATCCCCTGGACTCACAATGAACTGGCTGCCTTTCCTCCTCTCTGGTTCTACCCATCCATTAACATAATTGCCTTTACTCCTCCGGGCTGTTCCCAGCTCTGCATCACTCTGGTCTCATGTTGCCCCCTCTGAACCTGGCTTTCCTGAGTGGTTCAAATGCAATTGCAGCTGTTATAGTCACTGTGGAGAAGAGTCTGTTCCCTGTCCATGCCACCTGGCCCTGGCACAGGAGCTGGCCCAGGTTCCCTGAAGCAGGGGGTCCTTCTGCTCCAGCCAGCACTGGATGTTTGTGGGTGGCACAGGGATGATTAATATATTACATGGTGTGCTTCCAGTGGCTGCCTATAACTGCAGAGCTTATCTGAGGTTTAAACATTAATTCCAGACCTCTGGGAAGTCTGTCCCAGCACTGTCCTGTCCCAGACACAGCCACCAATGTCAGGTGTTGGGGAAATTTTGAAAGCAGTTGGTGATTTTGGGCGATTCCAGAAATGCCTGGTGCTGCTCTCTGTGATCCCCTGCCTCAGTGTGGCTTTCCACCAGTTTTGCCAGCTTTTCATGGTGGTGGAAGTGCCTCACCACTGTGACACCAGCTGGATCCTCGCCGTGGGCCCCAACCTGACGCAGGAAGAGCAGCTGAACCTCACCCTGCCCCGGGGCCCCGACGGGCACTTTGAGCAGTGCTCCATGTTCTCCCCGGTGGACTGGGACCTGGATTCCATCCTGGCCTATGGACTGAACCACACTGAGAAGTGCAGCAGTGGCTGGGTGTACCCCTCAGAGCAGCCACCGTCCCTGCTGACCGAGGTCTGTACCTGCTGCTGGATCTGCTGGGCTGTGGAAGGGAGGGATGGGGCACCCAAATGGCCACAGCTCCCCCAGAGCTGGTGCCTGGCCATGGTGCAGTTGGGATTTACAGCAGGTGTGGGCTGGGGACCTTGGCTTCACCATACAGGTCCCAGGTGGGGTCCTGGAGAGGGTGCAGGCTGTGACAGAGGTGCCAGTGGGGAGATGAATCACTCCTGGAGGGACCTCCTGCCCCTGGGATTCCCCATCCCTCTGCATCCAGGGGGTAACCTTTCCAATTTAATATCATGGAATGGTTTGGCTCAGAAGGGTCCTTTAAAAGTCATCTAGTCTAACCCCTAACATCACAATTGTTAGCTGAGAAAGATGTTAAATTAAGATAAAGGAGAGTAGGTTTAGATTAAATGTTAGGAAGAAATTCTTCACTGTTAGGGTGGTAAAGCCCTAGCACAGGTTGCCCAGAGAAGCTGTGGCTGTCCCATCCCTGGAAATGTTCAAGGCCAGGTTGGAGGGGGCTCTGATCTATCTGATCTAGTGTAAGGTGCCCTGCCCATGGCAAGAGAGTTCAAATTAGATGATCTTTATTGTCCCTTCCAACCCAAACCATTTTATGGTTCTATGATCCTTCCTATGTCACTCCTTCCATTGATGCCCTCTGGGTGCTGGCAATTGCAGGACATCTCTTTAACAGAAACTGCTTGTCCTAGGAATCAGCATTGCATCTTTTCTCCTCTGGGAGCTCAGGTGGTCTGGCAGGAAGCAAGCTGCTGCTTCTGTCCCCAGGCCCACCTAAAACCAAATTTGCTGACCAGGAGGCTCCCCTGGTTGGCTGGGCTGGACGAGGGGGACTCCTGCAGGTCCCAGTGCATGGGAGAGGGACCCACTGAGTGTCCCAAGGGCTTGTCCCACCTCTGCCTTGTGTGCCCTGTGCATACTGTGGGGATTCACATCCTTGGAAGGGGGGATACCAAAGCATCTCTTTCTCCTTTCTCCAGTTTGACCTGGTGTGTGACAGGAAGGACCTCAATGACATTGCCCAGGCCATCTACATGGCAGGGCTGCTCCTGGGATCCATGATCTTTGGGCCTCTCAGTGACAGGTGAGGAGCCACAAGCCCCTGCCCAGGGTCTGTGCAAAGCCAGCACAGCACAGACCAGGTGGTGTGAGCCTGTCTGGACTGTGCACCCCGTGCATTTTGTTACCACTTCTCACTGCAGGGACCCTGGCCAAAGTCCTTGAGTCCCATGAGGACATGGCCACACAGGGAGGGGAGGGGAGAGAGACACAGCATGTGTGCACAGTGCTTCCCTTGTCACCCCACAGTCTACTCTGAGCCTTATCAGGGTGATAAAAATCACTGTCTAACCTGCTGGGCTCCTTGCCATCTCCATGGGGTCTCTCCAGACACCGATTGTGTCTTCCCTGTTTCTCCCCAGGATTGGCCGCCGCCCGGTTGTTCTGATCTCTGTCTTCCTCCAGGGCTTGTTTGGCCTGGGAATTGCCATTGTGCCCCATTTCTATGTGTACATGGCCTTCAGGTGTGTGGTGGGGGCCTCCGTGTCAGGGATCACCATGACATTACTGGCCTTAGGTGAGTAGGATGCTCTTGCCCTGGGGCATCTCAAGATGTACTAGATAAGTTTTAAAGGAAATCAAAATATCTGTGTTTGACTAGAAAAACGCCGTGGCGAGGACAGGTCTTGATCTTCACTGTCCTTTGGTACTTTGGCAACTTCTCAGTCCTCAGTCAGAGCATTGGGGAGCATCCCTCTCCAGCCAGTGCTCAGAGGAGGGCAAGGGGAGAGTGTCCAAGAACAGGAGGTCAGCCTAATCGTCACCTCCAGAACAATTCTTCTCCAGGGAAACACCTGTTTGCCTCAGGGGAAATAATTTGGATGCCTGTGAGCCTTCCTTCTTTCTTTCAGCTACAGAATGGATCGGTGTCTCCTCCCGGCCCAATGCAGTGCTCACTTCTCACTGCTGCTTTGCCATCGGGCAGATGATTTTGGCTGGTTTGAGTTACGGGATTCGTAACTGGAGGCTGCTGGAAATTGCAGGATCTGTTCCTATATTTGCCTTTTTCTTCTGCATGGGGTAAGTAGGATGTGGACAGAGCTCCTGCAGATGTGACAGCAGTGTGAGGGTGTGAGTGAGGAGGAGGCAGCAGCTCAGACCAAGCTGGGTCTTTCCTGTTGGAGTGCAGGTGCTGGAGGAGCTGCTGCAGAGCTCAGCACATCTCCCTGGGCACTGCACTGCTGACAGCAGCAGCTGCTCTGCTTCAGGTCTCCAAATGTGCCCTTTGGAGCCTAAATTTAGGGTACTTAGACCCATTGATCCCATGGGCCGTTCACTTTAGAGCTGGACTTGATGATCCTTGTGGGTCCCTTCCAAGGCTGAAGGTTCTGTGATCCTGTGGTGATTCCAAGGCTTGCTGGGCATGGTCCCAGAGAAAGGGGCTGTGGGGGAGCTCAGCAGGACACAGCAGCATGTGCTGGCCTCCTCTCCTGGCAGGGTGCTCCCAGAGTCAGCTCGCTGGCTGGTCACCAAGGGCAGAATCGAGGAAGCCAAGAAGGTGCTGCAGAAGGCGGCAGCCACCAACAAGCGCAGCCTCCCACCAGAGCTCCTGGAGCAGGTACTGGGGGGTCCTGGCCTCAGACACTGCCCTGGGCCTGGCAGCACCCCTGGAGCTCAGCTCATGCCAGAAACATCTCTGCATTTCCACTGGGGCTGGCCATGGGCTGGGGGGGACTCCAGCTCCAGCTGAGTTCCACAGGGACGAGGTCAGGGAAGAGGCCCAGCCTCTGCTGAGGCTCAGCCTGGAGCTTTCTGGGGTCCCCCTGGGGCTGTGGGAAGGGCTGCAATGCTTCCCTGGCTTTTCTCCTCTGAGGATTCCAGGAGTGTGACTGATGAGCACAGAGTCTCTCTCTTTAGTCTCTGGCTTTCCAGGCAGAAATGCCTGAAGGGGAGTTCCCTCCTTGCCCACCCCAAAGTTCCTCCATTGGGCCAATGTTCATCCTGAGCAACCTCTCAGTCACCATCCCCTGTGCTGGGCACCCTGAGGGCAGTGGGGCTGCCCTCCCTGCCAGAGCACTGGGGTCACAGACCTGCCCCACTGAGGCTTCCCATGGTCTGCAGGTGGAAAAGGAGCTGCACATGGGTTTCCTTTTCCTGCTCTGACTCTTTTGTCTTTCTGTGTTTTGAAGTTGAAGCCTGAGAAAGAGGTCAAGTCTGGAAGTTTCCTGGATCTCTTTCGGAAGAAGCACCTACGGAAGGTGACTTTAATCATGTCATGTGCCTGGTAAGACATTCCCTGGTCCATTCTTCCCAAACTTCTAGGTGAAAGGAGTGAAGGGATTGAATTAGTCATTAAGAAATTCGTCATATGGCTTTTGAGTGTTATTTGATGGGTGTTTCTGCTTCTGGCTGTTTAAGATGCTTTGTGGGAAAGGTTACAGCATTTCCAGCTTTGGCAGGCCTGTGGTATTCCTCTGGTTTTACATCTCCTGTGAAATGCTGTGGCTTGGTCAAAATGTTGTCATTGGAGATCAGTGCTGCATTTCCTCATGGCTGACACCTGCTCAGTGCCACCCTGCCTGGCTTTCAGGTTTGTGAACAGCTTTGTCTACTATGGGCTGAGTCTGAACGTGACAAATTTTGGCCTGGACATCTACCTGACTCAGCTGGCCTTTGGAGCAGTGGAAATCCCAGCCCGTTTTGCTTGTATCTTCACCCTGCAGAGGTTCGGGAGGAGGAAAACGCAGGCTGTTCTCCTGGTGCTGAGTGGCCTGGTGTGTCTGATCATCACTGGCATCCCTGAAGGTGAATGACCTCATCCCACACGGAGAGGACATCCTCTGGGAGGGAGGCACAGAGCCCCAACCCTTCCCTTGCTGTTCTGTCCTCCCAGCCAGGGTGGTTCAGATCCCTCAGGGCCTCAGCTGACCCTGGCCATACAGGCCTGCCTGAACCCACAGGGCCCAAACCAAAACTTTTCTTGTTGATATCAATAGCAGAGGGCAGAGCTGAGCCCAGTGGGCCCCTTGTCAACAGAGCTGTGCTCTGGGAAAATTAACCCCTGGGGAGGTGAGATGATGGATGCAGAGTGCAGTGAAAGTGGCTGCCAGGCCAGAGCAGCCTGGCCCATGCTCAGACAGTCAGAGGCCATGGCTCCCTGCAGGTGACACAGTTGTCCCTGCAATCCCCAGTCGCCACCCATGAGTGGTGCTGAGCCCTCCCTCATCCCACAGCACCCATCTCTCCTCCTCCCCTCAGACCAGCCCGTGGCAACCACCGTCCTGGCCACCATGGGCAAGTTTGCTGCCTCAGCCTCCTTCTCCACCTCCTATGTCTACGCTGCCGAGCTCTTCCCCACGGTCGTCAGGTGAGCTCTCCCCACACTTTGCAGGGACCAGCAGTGATGGTAGCGGGGCAGGAGTTGTCCCCATGGCTCATCCCCGTGGTAGCCTGGGTGTGCTGACCCCCGCCCACAGCTCCCTCTGTCCCGCAGGCAGACGGGCGTGGGGCTGTGCTCCGTGTCGGCGCGGGTGGCCGGGATCCTGGCCCCGCTGGTCCGGCTGCTGGGCCAGCACCACCGGGCCATCCCCATGGCCATCTTTGGCAGTGCCCCCGTGCTGGGGGGGCTGCTCTGCATCCTGCTGCCCGAGACCTGCGGCACCGACCTGGCAGATGACACAGGGGACGGCCACCCTCCAGCTCAGGTGGGTCCTGCTGCTGCCTCTGGGGTGGGGGATGTGGGCAGCCGGCGCTGGGGGAGCCCCTGGGATGTGCTGGCAGTTTCTTTAGGAGTTAGAGACGTGGGAGGGAATGGAATGCATGTGGAAGTCATCCATTCCTGCATGTGGAAGTCATCCATGTTGCTATAGGACATGAAACAACATGACGCACACACCGCTGCTCTCAAGGTGAAGAAAAAGGGAAGTTTATTTTCAGACTCCAACATTTATAGTTTTCCAAAAGTGACAGTGGATTGGAGGGTGACAGTGCCACCTCTCCAATGACACTGGACAAACCAATAGTCCATCAAATTTCTCCTCCTCCACAAAAGAATGCAAAACAATAAGTTATTTATGTAAGGTGTTTGAGAAAGTTCATTACAAGAATGTAAACATCGGAAGGCTTAGAAAATCTTAAAAAATCAGGGTGACACATCCCTTCATTCCTGTCCATGGGATACAACAGCCAGTGCTCAGCTTTCCTCCCTCTGCCCTCCTCAGGGAAGCACTGGTGCCTTGCAGCCCCATCCTCTGGCTTTCACCCTCTCATAGCTCCCAGCCCTCATTCCCCATGGGACCAGCTGGAATTGCACCTCAATACTTCTGTTGTTGTGCTGGGAGAATGGTGTCCACAGGAACAGTCAGGAGTGGGATCCAAGTTGCTGAAGGCTGCTTGTCTCAGGGACAGCTGCCATCAGCTCATTGCACACCTTTCCTTGCTTTTACACCCTTTTCCCTTTCACCAGGTCTGCGAAAATGCCACCATCAGCTCTCAGAACGGGCAGGTGAAAGGAAAAGGTGCTGGCCAAGACAATGAGAGCACGAAGACCACGTACTTCTAGCTGGCTCTGCAGGTGGCTGTGGATAAAGGCAGCCCAGTGCTGTGTGGGCACTGAGGACAGGCAGGGTCTCTCCTCCACAGGACACCACCTTTGCTTGGGCCAATTCTTGGGTTTCCTTGTCTTTTTTGCCTTCCTGTATCTCCCTCTGTAGCTTGTCCTCAGGCACTGCAGGCTGTTGCTGGTGTCCAGCAGTGCTCTCACCAGAGAAAATTAGGTGCTTTTTACTTGAGGGGAAAAAGGAAAGAAATCAAGAATTAGAATGGAGACACTTCCTCTTCCTTTTTCCTGTTATGTCTCCAGGAAGGTGAGACTGTAAACTTTGTCCAGTGAGACACCCACTAGAGCATTGAATAAACTTGCAAGAGAGAACTGGGCTCACTAACAGGAGAGCTGGAGCAGATGCAGCACTGAAAATAATCTCACACTTGCAAGGAGTGATTTATCATGACTGTCTAGCAAGATCATCCTGTTCTCTCATAAAAACACTCCTTTTTATTTTTTTTTTAATTTGAGATACTCAGCTGAGAAAAAAAAAATAGTGATGGGAGAAACAGCATGCAGGGAGCAAGGATGTCTAACAGGCAGCAGAATTTTCCCTTCAGTGCTGGTGGCTTTGAATTGATGCCTGTCATGATGCTTTGGACATGGAAAATGGTACTGTTGGGCTGCAGTGTGGGACCAAATTGATCTGTCCATTCCAGGAAACTGAGGGACGTTGTGGCAGTTGGTCTCCTAGAAAAAAGTACAAATTTTTCTGGGAAATGTCAAGTCTTTTCTACTCTGTTCTAATCTATTCCCTTTTTGCTGGATCCATTTTGTATTTAAAAGATTTAGGACTGCTTTTGTCTTATACTGTGAAGAAAAAAAAGTGGTTTTCCTGTGCTTCCTTTCATATTCTCTCAGGCCCCTCAATCCATCTTTCTTTTCCCACTGGAAGGGTACAGAAGAAGCCTGGGAGCTGCACATGGTGGTTCTTCCTCTTTGACTGTACAGCTCAAAGGTTTTTTTCTGGTAGTGTCAAGAAATGTTAAACCACAGTATTTCTTCTCTCCATTGTCATGCCTACATGTTTTCCATGGACCAAAGTACATCCACGAGATGTTCAGTTTGATCAAGACAGAGTTTTGGATAAAATCAGTGCCATGTGACATTGTCCTGCCAGGAGGGACTGGCTGTGGTGCAGTTTTCTCTCTGGCACTGCTTTTCAGAGGATTTCAGAGCTGTGGTGCTCATCTTCAGTACCCTGAGAACAAAGGAGTTCAGTCCTTTGTCCTTTCCTTGGAAAAGGCTGGGGAGTGCCTCTTTCAGGCTTTTCTGGAAAACAAGCCATTGAGGGTAAAGGCTGAGGGGAGAGCTTGGAGACAAATGTACAGTTATTGGAGGAACCACTTTGGAAATTGTACTCTGAGACTCTCTGTTTTAGCTCATTTCATAAATAAAGGCATCCAAGCACAGCTGATGTGCTTCTGCTTCCAGCTCATTTGTGCCTCCAGTGGGCTGAAGATCCATTTCATGGAATCTTGGAGTGGTTTGGGTGGGAAGTGACCTTAAAGATCATCTCATTCCAATCTCTCCTTGCCACATGCAGGGACACCTTCCACTATCCCAGGCTGCTCCAAGCCACATCCAGCCTGGCCTTGGGCACTTCCAGGGATGGGGCAGTGTCCTGGTTTAGGGCAAATTTGGGAGGAAACTTCCAAAGGGGTCCCTCTAGAAAGCAGATTCAAGTGGCCTCTCCCACAACTGGTTCAGGAAAAGATTTCCTTGGAGAAAAGTGGAAAAAACCTGGCTTTTAACAAGTAAAGTATTCACAAGCATAAAAAATGAATAATTTTAAACAATAAAACCTCCTGCTGTTCTGAAGAGATGGCAAATTCAGAAAGTCCTTGTCGTGGGGGGTAACTTGGTTCACTCAGTCTCTTATCAGTCCCTCCTGTGCTGGAAATGCCACATCCTGGGCCCCAGTGGGCCATAGGTGTGAGCTCCCAGTGCTCTTCTGGGTTTTCAGTCCAGAGAAGGGCAGAAGAGCTCCAAGAAAAAGAAAAAACCACAGCCTGAGGAACATTTCTGCCTCAGCTAGCTAAAAACTAACTAAAAGCAAAGGAGAGCTGTGGTCATGTTCGCAGGGCAAGGGAAGAGATGAGAATCTTGACTCCATGTTTCAGAAGGCTGATTTATTATTTTATGATATATATTATATTAAAAGAAAATTATATACTAAAACTATACTAAAAGAATAAAGGATTTCATCAGAAGGCTTGAAAGGAATAGAAAGGAGTGAATAACAAAAGCTCCTGACTCTCAGAGAGTCCGAGCCAGCTGACTGTGATTGGCCATTAATTAGAAACAACCAACATCGACCAATCAAAGATCCACCTGTTGCATTCCACAGCAGCAGATAACCATTGTTTGCATTTTGTTCCTGAGGCCTCTCAGCTTCTCAGGAGAAAAAATCCTAAGGAAAGGATTTTTCATAAAATATGTCCATGACGGAGAGCTCTCTCCCACTGTCCATGCTGCAGACAACACAGTCCAGGAGAAGGATGTGGGGGAGCAAGTGCAATTTCTGATAACAAACTGTGCTCTTCTTTTCCTCCTCTTTGCTCTATGAACAAGTCTAAAGGTGCAGAACCTAATATCCAGCATAAACAGAACAGACAACTGGGGATACAAGCATCATAAAGCCACCCTAGGACAGGCAACCACAGCTTCTCTGGGCACCCTGTGCCAGGGCATCACCACCCTCACAGGGAAGAATTTCTTTCTAACATCTAATCTACATCTCCCCTCTGTCAGTTTTAAGCCATTCCACCTTGTCCTGCCACTCCATTCTCTTGTCCCAGGTCCCTCTCCAGCTCTCCTGGAGCCCCTTTAGGCAATGAAAGGGGCTCTGAGGTCTCTCCCTGGGGCCTTCTCTTCTTCAGGCAGAACAATCCAAACTTTCTTCATAGGAGAGGTTCTTCAATCCCCCTAATCATCTTTGTGGCCTCCTCTGGACTCACTCCAACAGCTCTGTATTGTATTTTATCTGCTCTTCTCTGGATCACTGAATCTTGTGAGTTTGAATACCCCTGCACTTGAAGAGCACCTGAACAGCTTGACTCACGTTTTGCCCAGCTCAGCACAAGTGGGAGGATGTCCAGTGTTTTTGCAGAGCCTCAATGTCACTCCTAGCCAGCCCACAAGTGGCCTTGCACTGTAATGGGCAGAGGTGACAGCACAAAGTGGAGCCAGGGGTGCTGGAACAGCATGTGGGAATGCAAACATAAACCTGTGGGAATGCAAATACACTTCTGCATGCACACAGTGGGGAGTTCTGGGCTCTCATGATTGTGAGGCCATGGGCAAAGGGTAAAATGGGACCTAAGGAAAAACCAAGGCAAAGAGGATGATTCCATATTGAGGGAAGGGAGCCAAAAAGTCAACAAGGTGATGAGGACAAAATGGGGGTAGACAGGTTTATCTGGGAAGAGGAGGTTTTCTCATTTTAGAGACAAATTTAGGAGAAAATGCTCTGGAATGAGTGTTTCTGCTAAAGAAAAAGGCTTCAGTAATTCCTTTTCCTGTCAATGAGAAAATGGATACCAGTGGGTGAAAGTAAAAAAAAAAACCCAACTGTTTATTGACAAAATGCCCACATGGCAAAGGAAAAAAATTGAACAAACGCTAGATATTGAGCCATCAGAACCTTACCCCCAACACACAGACACGCACATGCACACACCCCACAGCAGAACAAAAAAACCCAGAATGCCTGGGAAAGAAACAAACAGACCAGCTGTGTGGCAGGGGGAACAAAATGGCACCAGCCTTTTTGTCTCAGGGAAAGAAAAAAAGCTCATGCAGCAGCCTGGGCAAAACAGATGGGAACCTGTGGAACCTCTTACATTGGTCTCCTCCTCACAGCAAATGAAGCTGGTGGATTTTGGTGTCTTTTTTCTTGTTGGTTCAACTTTTCCTGAGGTCTCAGGCCAGGCAGAGCAACTCCTGCCTGATTGGCTCCTGGCAATTGTCAGATCTTAGGCCAAAACCAAGGTGAATAATTAAAGAATAAAACCCAAAAAGTCACCAAAGGATTGCTGCTGCAGTCCCTTCAGGCCAGGAAAAGGGGAAAAAAACTTTCTTGCTTAAACTAACAATAAACCAAGCTAGCCAAGCAACTGTCTTGGGGCGATTTTATGATGATGCTCTATTTCCTGTCTGTTTTATGCCCAGAAATGGCATAAAAACATTGTAGCTTTAAGATGTATCTGGGGGGAGGATCAGGAGCCTGGGAGCCCCGGTGAGGGCTTTGTTCAAAGACTGTCTTGGTTGGAACAGACAGGTGTCTGCTGAGGAAGGCAGGAGCCTCCCTTGAAATGGAAAATGTAAACACCCTCCCTCTGAATTATTATACTCTTGAAATTAAGGGGCTCTCAGGCAAAGAGATGGGAGTAGGAATAACAGCTCTTTACTAGGAAAATAAAAATAAAAATGCAGTAATAGAAAACAACCCACTGCCAGAGTGAGAGCAGTCCCTGTCCCCTGTGTGTCAGGGGGTGGCACAGCCCCATCCCATGGGGGCTCAGCCCTCCTGCAGTGCCAGCTGTGGCTCTGCTGGAGCAGGGATCCTGCACAAGGGGGGAGTTTTCCTCTGCAGCTCCAGGGCTGCTGCAGATGGGCCTGGGCTCCCTCTGGCCATGCAGGGCAGCAGAAGCTGCTCCTCTGGCAATGCACTGGGCAAAGGCTGCTGGGCTGTGCCAAACCTCAGATTGGATCCAGGGAGGAATGCTTGGCTCCTCCCCTGGGTGGAGCATCTCCCCATGGGATGCTGGGATTGGATCAGCCCTGCAGGGACACTCAGTGGCCATGGACAGCAGAGATCTCCTGCAGGGAGGATTGGCTGGGGGAGAGAGAAAGAAAAAACTGCCCCATGGACAGCAGAGAACTGCCCCAGCTCTGACAGATGGAAAATAGAATGCATGCCCCAGCCAGATCTTGCATTGTGATTTAAGGCTCAC